GGCTGCCCAGGGCCCCATCCAACCTGGCCTTGAACACCTCCAGGGATGGACGGGGCATCCACAGCCTCTCTGGGCAGCTGTTCCAGCACCTCACCCCTCACTCTGTAGAGAACTTTCCCCTGACATCCAACCTCAATCTTCCCTCCCTCAACTTCAAACCATTTCCCCTTGTCCTGCAGTTATCTACTCTTTCAGAGTTGATTCCCCTCCTGAGTATTGACTCCCTTTAGGTACTGAAAGGCTGCAAACAACAATAACTCATAACCTCTTTAAGGACTTGCCTCAGATTAAGTGGATTTATAAGCTGGATGTGTTTGGAGCAAGACTTGCACAACAGTACAGAAAGTGGATATTTCTGTGGCAGTTGCCAGGGAAAATAACTTTATTTTGCTGTTAGTGATCCTACAAGCTGGGCCACCTGTAGCCCTGTTCCTTTTGTAAGCCATGTTAGCCTCTTTGCTTTCCTCAGATAAATGCTTATGGACGTGATGGCCAAATGGCTTTTCTCTGTTCAGTTGAAATTCTAGTTTTGTAAGTTCCTGTGAAAGTGGCACAAGGCTTTCAACAAAAAAAAAAAAAGCTGTTAAAATTACAGCTTTCTTAACATCTGCTGCTGTGTGGAGAACACGATGTCATGTTGAATGACAGCTTTTTAAAATTTAAGTGAAATGTAAGAGAATTTTGAGGGGCTGAGCAAAACACCGCAGACTAGAAGTGCCAAGGTATGTCCTTTGACAGGGCCGGCGTTATCACCGTCCACCTGAGAGCTTTGATTTACAAGTTATTTTATCAAGACTTTTTTCTTCCAAAGAAGGGAATACTTGGAGCTAGGTTAGAGTTAGACCTTGATAGATGGAGGTCCTTTTATGTGTTGCCTTTATTTAAGCAATTTTCTTTTTTGCACCCAGCAACGTTATAGAAAAATCATAGCTACAAGCTATAAGTGCTCAAGATTTTCCTTGATTACCTTCATCTGAGGTGTACTGCAGGATGTTATTTGTAGGCTGGTATCAAGAGACAGATGTGCAATCTCTTTCCTCTTTGCCATTAGTCCTCTTTCCATTCCTGCTAATTATCAGGCAGTTCTGCAGACGGGAACAGAAAGCTGTTTTGGCCTCAAGTTAATTCTTCCTCCTCCTCCTCCTCCTGATCTTCATCCTTACCTTCTAATTTTCTTCTTCCTCCTTGTCAGACCTTGTTTGGGGCATGCTGACCATCTACATGTCCTGTGTGTGCCCAATAACTAGCCTGACCTGTAAGATCAGCATCCTCATCCTGCTGTACTTGAAGCAGTACCACGACCTACTGCTGTGGCAGGGGTCGGTTTTGGGGCATGCTGAAGCCGTTTGTGCTGCAAGGTTGGGGCCAGCAGTGCCCTGAGGCAGGAGATGGTTCTGGGCAGTTCGTGGGGATGATTTACAGGTCTTGGGTGGCTGTACTCACTGTTCTCCTGAACTGCCCAGAGCCATCTTCTATGGCTGATCCTCGCTGCAGAATGGTGTGCTGCAGCCGTCATCCTGCAGTGAGATTGGAATCGTGGAGCTGTAGCGATTGGAAAGGTTCCTCTAGATATCATCCCATCCCACTCCTTGCTAAAGCAGCTTTTAGTATCAGGTGTTTGTATCACTGCAGCCGAATTTCTCAGTGGTAGCATTTCTTAATTTTGGTAGAGCTTCCCAAGCTTGAAGGCAGGTGTGCTATCCTGAGAGTAGAGCAGCATCCACTGCCTCACAAAAAAACCTTCTGGTTTCCCTCTTTAGGTTTAGTTTGCTAGGATTTATCTCTAGTTTCTAGCTAGGTAACTCAAACTGGTGCTTCTCAGTGAGACACTTTGTGTCAAATCTTGGTAGGTTAGTTAGTTCCTGTGAGCCTTCATCCCAAACTGAGACTGAACTCTAACAAATGACAAAAGGATGTCCTACTCTGCATTTACCTTCTTAACAAAATAAATGGAAACACATTTGGATTCTGCCTTTGCCATAGATGTTTGCCTATAATGTATTGCATCTTTATTCAAGAGTTAATAATTGATTTCACTGTAAATTAGTTAATGATCCCATTCAGCTGTGATAAAGCACAACAGCTAGTTAATTCAGGATAGAAAATGGGGTTAGTTTACTTAGATGTGACACTGCTTTCCTAATGACTTGACTTCAACAGAGTTTCACTTAGTTATTAGGTTATTTTACTCATTACCTCAGGAAGATGTGTGCAGGCAATTAAGGTGTCACAACTCATGATACACAGAACGTTTTTTTCTAGAGGAGTGCCTTAACTGTATATTACTGAGATTTGAGAAGTTCATAAAGCATCCCCACATATTCAATGAAATGTCTGCTTTCTCTCATTTACAGAATCACAAAGCATCCTGGGTTGGAAGGGACACACAACTCCTAGCTTTGCATGAGACCACCCAAAATTGAAATGCTGTGTCTGAGAGCACTGTCTGAACTTCTTGAACTCAGTCAGCCTGAGGCTGTGACCCTGGGGAGCCTGTTTCAGTGCCTGACGGCTCTCTGGGGAAGGAAACTTTTTCAGGTCAAGCTGACCCTCCCCTGCTGCAGCTCTATGCTGTTCTCTCCTGTCGCTGCCACCCGTGAGCAGTGCTCAGTGCTTTCATTCCACTTCCTTTCTGGAGAAGCTGTAGGCTTCCACGAAGCATCCCCTCAGCCCTCATCTGCTCTGGGCTGAACAAACAGTGGCTTCTTGTAAGTCTTGCCCCCTGAGCCCCTCAACACCTTCTAGTGTAGAATCATTAAGGTTGGAAGAGACAGCTAAGATCACCTAGTCCAACTAGCAACCTGTCACTGCCACATCAGTAAACCATGTAAGTCCACTCAACGCCTTCCCTTTTCTTGAACACCTCCAGGGATGCTGACTGCACTTGGGCAGCCTGTTGCAATAACTCACCCCTCTTTCTGAGAACAAGTTTTTCCTAATATCCAATCTAAACCTCCTCTGACATAACTTCAGCCTGTTCCCTCTCATCCTATCACTAGCTATCTGGCAAAAGAAGCTGACCCCCACCTCACTACAGCCTCCTATCACATAGTTGTAAAGAGTGAGTTGTAGCCCTTCCTTGGAAACTTTCTAAGAAGTTTATTTTTTTTAATACAGCGATGCCCAAACCAAAGCACAAAGTGCTTAAAGCAAGGCTACAGAATGGTATGATCCCTTCCCTTGCTGAGCTGGTAGGGCCAGGCCCAATGTACCACAGGGAACAGTTGGCTCTCTTGGCTGCTGGGGCACGTGGCTGACTTGAATTTAACTTGCCATTGACTGCAGCCCCCAAGATTCCTTTCCACAGGGCTGCTCTCCAGCCTCTCATGCTCCAGTCTGTACGGGTAGCTGGGGTTGGCCCAACCCAGGTGCAGAATCTGCAGTTGCTCTCATCAACCTTCATGTGGTTGGTGACTGCACAGCTTACTGAAGTGTTGAGATCTCTCTGCAAAGCCTTTCTATCCGTGAGGAGTCAACTACTCTTCTAGTTTAGTGCCCTCAGTAAACACACTTAATACACATTCCAGTCCTGTATCCAGATCATTTAGAAATACTGAAGAGAATGGGCTCTGAAATGAAGCCCTGTGGAATCTGAGTAGTGACTGTCTGCCAGCCTCTTGCGATCTCGTTTATTCCAATGCTTTAAGCTTCTTTTGCATGGGGCTATTATAACTGTTCAGTGTTTTGTTTGTTTTAAGATGTACAATTAAGAAGGGCTATGTTCTGATACAGAATTTAGTTTTCAAATCCACTTGCCTGACAAGGATTTTCCTCACACAGGCACACTGTAGACTAGGCCACAGGTGAAGACATCTAGTTTTTGTAATGCAGGCATTCTCTTAAGTGGCTGGATATTGCTGAGCAGCGATCAACTCATAGGAACAGTTAAAAACAGAAGATACAGCAATTATTGAATCAGAATGTATTAGACAGTTGAAGTTAATGGACACATCTCCCTAATATACAAACGTAACAAGATGTCGATGGTTTGTGGGTTGATTCAGCCCAGTTCCATGACTAGCAGGGCAGAGGGAGCCATGGATCTCCAGACCTTGAGAAGGTCTCAGATAGGCAGTGACCTCCAGCAAGACAGCTGTGCCTCCACTGCCAACCCTTTAATGAGGTCTGCACTGGATGCACCTCAGCTCCCCAGGTTCTGTTGGCCCTGTCTTCCCACCAGGTGCTCCATCTCTGGTTCAAGCCATGATTTAGAATTTCTGCTACACCCTGAATGTAAAAGCACACACACACAGATAAAAACATCTGCCAAAGTAACCTCCTATAAAATTTCATTACAAAAATTCACCATTTATTTAGGACCCGTGGGCCAAATGCTGCTTGATGAGACAACCCAAACTATAAATCAATGAGTTAGTCCCACAGTATTCATTTCTCTACAAGCCAGCTAAAAGTTGGGCTCAGAAAGACATATCTGTTTAACCTGTGACATGGGTGCACAAACACAACAAAACAAGAGAGTGTATGGAAGAATGCAGACAAGAGGATTTTGTGAGAATCTAGGGAAAATGTAGGTAAGATTATTAATACTGGAAGAGTTTTAAGAAGGGCTAGTTTTCATTTCAAACTAGAAGCAGCAAAACTGATTCATAGTATTGTGAGATTGAAATGCAAATGCAAAGACGTGCAATGGAAACAGGCAATCCTATCTCGTTACACATGCATTATTCTGAGCTCAAGTCTATGCTCTGCTGCTCGCAGCATTTGCTGACTGGCAAATACATATTAACTGAGTGAAAATGTTTAGGGATTCGACATTCATTGGCAAGGACAAAGCTCATCATCTGCGTTCTTTGCAGCTGCTGATACTCAGCCTACACACCCCTACTCTGATGTCAGTGGTCTAAACGAGGACCATACCCTAACTGACAGTTTAATCCCAGGAAATCTCTGTTGAATTATTAGCTGAGGCTCCAACGTACACAACTGCAGACTGCTCCTCAAGCAAAATGAGGATTTCCTAGTTTCCAGTTCAGGTGGGGAGGATTCTGCTACAGTTAAACCCTGCTCAAAAGTCTAAACTTACTTTCGGTACTGGATTTTTTTGCACATATTCACCACCAGTATAAGCCCTCAGTCAAAGGAACAGAATTGCCTGGTCCTTTGGGTGATTAGAACTGGGTTGTGTCCATGATAATCATTAACTGTTGCAAAAAGCCACCTTAGCACTAGAGGCAAGTATTCAAAATACAAGAAAATATTGCGAGAGTATTTCATCTTCCCCTCCGCTTGCTGTAAAGCTGGTCTTTTCTCCTTCAGTCTCTTGCGGATATAATCATTTATATATAAATGGAAAACTTGTCCATGACTCATCTGCCTGCGTTACCAAGTGCATTCTTTAGTCCAGTAGCCAGATGTCCATTATGTGGGCTGCTAAGTGATTTACACTGATCGAGTATGCACTCTATGCAGCTCTTGCAAATTTTATATGCTGGCTGTACAGAGAATGAATGCGTGCTGATTATGCTCCAAATAGCAATGAACCCAATGACATAAGCCACTAACTCCCTGTAAGGAAGCCAGCAATACAGCTGTTGCTTCACTACCGTTAACATTAACTACCATACCATTAAATGTTAGTAAGGCTTTTAACATGGTCCCCCATAACTTCCTTCTCTCCCAGTTACAAAGATATGGATTTGATGGCTGGACTGTTCAACAAATGAGGAAAATGAATCAATGTCTGGAAGCAGACCAGCGATGAGTGGTGTCCCTCAAAGGTCAGTGGGACCAAGGCTCTTTAATATTTTCATCGATGACATCAATAGTGGGATCAAGTGTATCGTCAGCTAGTTTGCAGATGACAGCACACTGTCTGATGTGGTCAACACCTTTGAGGGACAGGATGTGATCCAAAGAGATCTAGAGAAGCTCAAGCAATGGACCCTGTAGAACTTAAACAAATCCAACTGCAGAACTATGCCTGGGTCCCTCACATTCAGCAATTCCTACTGTCAGTACAAGCTGGAGGATGAAAGGATTGAGCACAGCTCTGCCAAAAAGGGCTTGGGGTGTTGATGGATGGAAAGCAGGACAAGAGCCAGCAATGTGTCCTCACAGCCCAGAAAGACAACCATACCTGGGGTGCATCAAAAGCAGCATGGCCAGCAGGGTGAGGGAGGTGATCCTGCTCCTCTATTCTGCACTGGTGAAGCCTCACTTGGAGTACTGCATCCAGATGTGGAGTCCTCAGCACAGGAGGGACGCGGACCTGTTGGAGAGTGTCCAGAGAAAGGCCACAAAAAAGTGGCACCATTGCCATTTTATATGCAGGGAGCTGAAAATGCCAAATGAAGTGAAGAATAAAACTCTTTTTCTTTTTTACACTTTACATGACATTTTAGAAATGTTTCATGATCTCTCATGACCCATCAACTTACATACTGTTAAATAACGCTTTCCTGTGAATGATTTCAGTGCAGGTCTCCTGTTGTTTCACTCTGAAAGTGAGTTTTCATTTCATATTGTAGCAGCAATGCGAAGTCACAGCTGAAGCACTGATTGAGCACCTGGTGGGAAGGCAGGACCAACCCAGTGGAGCTCAGGTGCAAGCAGTGCAGCTGAGTGACGGGGAGGAGTAGAGCCAGGACAAGGGTTGGCAGAGGAGTGAAGCTTGCTTGCTAGAGATCTCTGATTTACTGGAGGCCTTCTAATGTAGTTTTTCTTCTTGTGTTTCTGTGTTTACAGCTGCTGCATTTGGGTTCGTTCTGATTTGTTACTGTCTAGGCTTGTGTTACTCAGCTGTTATTGCTGCACTGTTTATCCCATTACAGCTTTATGCATGTGAGTGTGAATATCTACCTACACAGTAATAAGCAATGTGAACTTTTCTGGGATCAGAGGAAGATACAACTTTAAACGTTTAGCACTAGAGCACAAATCCAGAGCAACAATAACACCTGAGGAATTCTGTAGGAGCTGCTTAACGGCAGCTGCCTTGAACAGCGTGCTGTAAATGGCTAAATTACATTGCCCTCTGCCGGAGCTGCAGGAGATCGCAGGTTGGTGCTTAACGCAGAGACGAAACTGGCTGGAGAACCACGAGGCAGATCATAGTATCATAGTATCATAGAATCACAAGTTAAACTTGCTAAGAAGGTGGACTCTATATCCTTGAACTTACAGGAAAACTAAAAAAGAATTATTTCTGACTTACATGGGCAGATTAGCTCAGAGCTGGTGAGAGAAATGTTCCGTGAAACTGTGGAGAAAGAAGGTTTCCTGGGGTCCTGTGCCATAGTTTATTATTTCTCATTATTATTGTTAGGTTTTGTTCAAAAAGAATACATAGTTTTTCCCACTGAAATGTTTATATCATTATTTTGTTATTATTACTTCATAGTTTTTATTATTTTATTATTACTTGATGTCATCTAGCATTTGACTTAGACCGTCTTCTGCATCAAAGGTTGTCACAGCTTTAGTTGAATGACTTTAACTTTTGCACTGAAACACAAAAGTCAGAAATGTACCAAGATGAGAATGATGTATTCCAGTTGGGCTTTTGTCATTTTTAATGCTAGCATTTATAGATTAATAAACTGTGATAAACTGAAAGATGACTTATGGACGAAACTGCATTTTAACTACAGATTTTCCTGGTCTCGGTGCATCTCTGCTGGACACCATGTGGTGTGCAAAAGATAAGTCTGTTTCAGAGTGTTGATGTATGTACATTACTTTAAAGCTGTTTACTTACTTGTGTTGACTTATGGGATGAGATTGGATGACCTGACTTAAAAGCGGATAAAGCTGCTTGTCAAACCCTGTGAGAGGCTCTCTGCAGAATCATGCTAAATGCTGAATGGCTCTCTGTGTAACGTTCAACATCCCTCATTCTTTCTTCCTTTTTCTGAATCCTCAGTTTCATATGCTTTCCTTGATCTATTTTTCTCCTTCCTCCCTATAAAGTAATATATAGTAAACTGTTAAAAGATGTCCTTACTGAGCTTTCTTACATCAGTTAAGATTTGATTTTGTCAAGCAGTGTAAGAATTCAAAAATTAGCTTTTCTTTCCATGTTTTTTTTTGTTGTTGTTGTTGCTGTATGATATTCCTTTCTCTTATTTCAAGTGAATCAGCACATGTCGTTTTTATGGTGCACCATTTATAACTCAAAAATGGGCTCTGAATTTGTGCAGTGGACAGAAATCGTGGCCTAAAAAGGCACCAAAGCCCTTTCAAAATGTTAAAACGTGTTCCACAGAGACTCTTTTTGCATTGTGCTGTAGCATATAAAATCAGAATAATGGAAATACTTCATTAAGCATACTCTAATAACAGCTTCACAAGGCACAACTGAACTTTTTTTCCCCTTTGAGACTGCATTTATATTACACATTTTATATCTTGTTTTCAGTATATGAAGTTTATTTTTTCCATCAGATGGTCACAAATAATGACTGGCATTTTTTTGGTATTTACAGAAAAAAATTGATGTTAAAGGAAGTAATAAGTGCTGAACTGTCTGGGAGTTCCCAGGTAATAAGTTAAGCATCCTGATAACACAACAGATGGGCTTCAGTAACTGGAAGTCAGGTATTTCATGCACATTGTGTGAACAAAATTTGTCTGTGATGTTGGCCAAAAATCAGAGCTCACTGGTGATTCTCAAAGGTCTCCTTTATGTGGTTTGGAACAGAATTGTATGACGAGTTGCTAGACCGGATAATTAATACACATTGTCTTAAATGCACTCTGCTAGCGGTGAGCGTGCTGGTTGTGGTTGAACTTCATGTGGCCTTTGCTTGACATCTCTATCATCCACCAGCAAAAGCAATAAATGTTACTGAATGAATAACTATTCTACGAAGGGTCAAGTCAAATCTCACCGTTACTTTCAGAGGAGCAGTTGACAGTTCTATCCTGGGTACAATATCCAGAGCAACAAGGCAGTGTAAAATAGATTTTTAGAGAGATTCCTCTTCTGACAATTCCAAGCTTCATATTGAAAAATGAAGAAATGTAGTATAGCTAAATATGGAATGGCCAGGTGGGTTTATTCAACGTTGTGCTAAAGAAGAGAAAAACTCTACTATTAACGTGAATTTTCATCAAGTAAAATTAGAATTTCTTAATACTGAATATTTTGATAAATAATTATGCATATTTTAAACTACCATTTAAAAAGAGAATCTTAAACTGAGACCAAAACAAAAAAAACAACAGCTTACTGTAAAGCTGATTCCAGCCAGCTTAGAACAAAGATTACAGCAGTGTGTACCCATGAGGTTTTCAGACTGAGTACTTCAGGGTCAAAATCTAGATTGTCATTTTCCAATCGAGATGCATTATCTTTACTGGTACATCTTCATTTGTTTGTTCACTTTAAATCATGTCTCCTTAATTTGAAATGCTCAAGTACACATTTAAGCATTCTTTTCTTTCTGGATCATAGGCACCGTGTTTGATCTTAGTCTTCTCACTTCTTTTTGTTGTTTTTTGGACCCACGTTTTCTACTTTGAGTGATTTCAGCACCCAAGTTAAAACATTGGATATGCACTGCTAGGATGAGAAAATGGATGCAAGTTGCTGAAAGATGTCTTCTTGCTTATGTAAATCTGCAGAGCTGAGCAATAGCGTGCTTTCTTCTGAGATTTTCCATTTGGTAGCACAGCTGATTTCCAGCCATTCCAATTTTTCACGCATATGAGTTCACTGACCACATGCTAAAAATGGAATTCCATTTACATTTAATGTATCTTCATTCCATTTCTTCTTTCTAGAAGGCTTGTTAGGCTCACGGCCTCCTTCTCCTGGTGCTCCTCCTCCTGTATCTTCTTGGGTTGCAATTTAAGAGCATGAACCTAAGTCATTGCAGAATGCTTTGTTTCTCTCCCCTCAGCATGTGAATACTTAGCGAGCTGCTGAAGAGACCTAATAGCTCTCAGTGTATAGACAAAATGCTTTAGAGAAAGTAGGTTTGTCAAATTAATGAAGTCTGGTACTTCATCGTGTGTCATCCAAGTGTAATCCAATTAAAAATAACACAAAATACAAGAACTATAAGTAACACAAAATACAAGAACTATAATGTCATCTATTCTGTCTCTGGGTGATTTTAACACTCTCACAGGGGGTTCTGTACCTGAAGCTCGTGTTGTGACGAGGTGTGGGAAAATATGGCTAAATATTGCATAGATTTTGAAAACGTGCTTGTGAGAACATTGACAAGCTATTAATGGATTCACTCTTCTGTTTTTCCTTCCTAATTTCTACAATCTGTATCAACATGGGTTATTGGAGTTGTATCTTCCGAAGCCTTTCTGCGCCTTAGCTTACTTTGGTGGGGCAATCATGGAAATCACAGAAGGTAAGAATGCAGCGTATTCTAACACGAGCGGTCTCTCAAGGTTTATTTTACCTGTAAGGTCATATTTGTCCTCTGCAGTGAATAATTTGTATTTATGCTTAAAAAACCTAAGGATCAGCCAGATTTTTGATGAGGTTGGTGACAGACATTGTGACACATTTGGCTCTGGGTGAACTGTATGCTTTGAGCCAGAGGCAATTTAAACTGCAAGAGATGCTTTTGCTTCACTGTGGAGGGGAACTCTACTGTGCGTTACCAACTCTATCTGTTTAACTGTCTCCATTTCCAAAGCTGCTTACAAAAATATAAATCCCAGCAGCATAGCATGAAATGAAGCTAGGTGCTGCTTCCTGTTCACTGGATCTAACTTAATGTCAGGCTGCTCATCTCTAAGGATACTGCAGCTGTGATAGTTAAGGATGCTGTGAAATTGAAAAAACTAGCCACTTTTCTGCTCATTGATGCATATTTTTGAGCTCTCGTTTTCCTTGCTTCATAATAGATAACTGTTTTACCTTTTAAAGCCACAAACCAATTGCAGCTGCTTGGAGGAGTTTTGAGCAAGTGAAAGATTTGGTTGAACCAAGGACTATGGAGGATGTCAGGATTCATGTGGTATTAAAGAAGGTGGAAGAGTAGTCATGGATTTTTACTTCCTTTTCTGTTTTTGTTGTTTTTCATGCTGCAAACAAGGAAATTGCAGTTGCTGTCATTGGATGCTGCCTGGTCCCAGATTAAAAGCAAGAACTGAGAGGCTCCCGAGTTCTCTATTTACAACATGAAAAGACAGAAGCACTTGAAAATAAGATACTAAAGTCAGTGAGAGCCTTTTTTTCCTCATCTCAAGGCCTCTTAATTGCAAGCTTTTTTGAAGGGATGAGATGTGTTGCTTAAATTAGTATTGGATCAATGTATACTTAGGAGGCTTTTCACATGGTGAAGAATTACATACACTGCTCCTTGGGCACAAATCTATTTCAAACAGGCATGGGGCTGTTAACTGCTTAACTGATGTTACCCTGTTGTACATACACTTGTTCTTATTATTTCATTTCTACTTGTGCTAAAAATATGATCTTCCACCACATGACCCACATGGTCTGGGGTTGGACTCAATGATCTGAGACACCTTTTTCAACCTTAATGATTCTATGACAGGTTTGTAGGCGCTTCAAATGCAGTTGAATGGAGTCTTGGATTGCTTTGAAAGCACCTGGCTGATCAGCTTGCTACCCTTCATACGAAGTGTTGGAAGTGCACTTTCAGATAATGCTTTCTATCTTTGGAGTTTAGGGAGGAAGATTAAACTGCTGAAGGTTATCGTGATGCTTCCAAGAACGTCAGTTTTTGGCTTGAGCAGTGTGTCATTTTTGGTGTGCCACACTTCTATCTCTGACTCTGTAAAAGCAAACAGTCCCAGTAACTAAGGAACAGCACAGTTCAATGTTTTCTTAAGAACAACTTTGCTGCTTAGGGATGTGATTTACTACTTGTGTGTGTGTACGTACATGCAGAGACAAAAAGTGAGGATGATCTCATCTTAACTAGCTCACATGAGCAGTCTGTCTCATTTTTTTCAGTCTCATAGCCAAAGACAAATTTACTGTAAGCAGATGGAACTCCATTGAGTTGTAGTACTGCCATTAGTGTCAGTACTCACTTGGTTGCAATGATAATTCTCTCTGTAGTAATCAATGCTTGCAATGTAAGCCTGAAAGAAAAAAAAACTGATTATCTTGCAGCTTTCTCAGCATTTTTGCACAGACAGGAAAGAAGGAGAAGTTTTAGTTGGGAAATGTTCAGGATTTTACAAGTAAGTCTTTGCATTTTCTTCATTTAATTTCGGTGCTTTTTAGAAGTCTGTTCTTACACCAATTTATCAGCACTTGGACTCAGAATCAATTTCACTTTTTCTTTACCGTTTTACTTAGAATCAGTTATTAGTGATGTCATACAGCAAGTGCCAGAGACATGAAATAGACCTGCATGTATTCCTAACATCTGGGCCAAAGAAGCATCTTCATGTAAATGATGAGAAATTTTCACAGAACGTTGAGTCATCTTCCTCTTAAAAAGACAAAAAGAAGAAGATTGAGAGACAAAAAGAATAGTATGGTAAACAAATTCTACTCAAGTGTAGATGCTTCATAAAGACCTTGTTTCGTTAATTTCCTAATAATTAAATTTCCAAATCTTGCATGCTAGTAGCAAAGCAGTTAATAGTCTTAACCAGAAGAAAAACTTTCTATTTGTGTAATATTTATTGACGTTAAACCCACATTATACCAGCACAACAATCCAAAGTAATGATAGTACATTTTTTATAAATACAAATAGAGAGTGGCAAAATAATGCTAGTGAAGCTAAACAAAAAAAAACAAAACAAAACAAAAAAACAAAAAAACAAAAGTAAATTAGCATGTCACAGTTGTGGAAAAATCTTGCAAATGATATGACATACTTCTTCTAGAATATCAGATTATTCCCATACAACAAAGCATGACATTAATTTAGAGGAACGATTCCCAGAACTGGTCATGTCCTGCACCAATTTGCATAGAATAATACTAACTTATGTGCTAAAGTTTATTAGTCACTAAAAACAAACAAACTTTGTGTACTTACAAGGAATACACTTATAGCAGTAATGCAATATATGGTGTACACAATTACAAAATAAAAAAAACAACTAAGTACAGGACTTCTGAGTAACTGAACTGGGATAAAAGATTTCAACACTTTTATTATAAATAATGAAAGATACCATGTATGTGCTTCATATAAGGAATACAGTGTTTTCCTTTCATAGCAAAGTATGCTCGTACCATCAAACACTCATTTTTCTTGTCAGGCCTAGCAACTCTTCCATCCCTCCCTCCCCTTCATCTGAAATTCATTTGGTTCTAATTTAAAACTACCTTGTCAGACTTGACGAGGTAGAGCTCCAGTTTGATGTGGATTTGCCTTGCATTCTGAAAGTAGCATTTCATCTACTGCACGCAGCCCCTACCCATTAACAGAGCTGTTGTAGGCAAACAACAGGAAGGATGAGAAAAAAAAATAATCCAGAAACATATATGATACGAAGAAAAAGTGGTGCAAGTTTTCTTGTTTTGTCCATCATCTTCTGCCTCCTCAGATTTGCAAGCTTATCACCTATGGTGTTTACTTGTCATCGATATTCCTACTGCAGTCTCAACCCATTTCTCACTTACTGTGCATTTCTAAAATCCTCACACGTGTTACTCAAGTGCTAAGCAGTCAAACGGCCCTTACATACATTGCTCAGTTTTCAGCTCACCTTAGAATTTCAGATTCTTCAGCAAGAGTGTTAGGAGGTTGCAGGCTGTCTTCAGGAAATCCACGCAGAGTTTCAGCCTCCTGCCCTGTTCCCCTCCCACCCCTTGCAGCAATCTACTGCAGCGGTTCATACCGTAGGCACTTTCTCTCCTCTAGTTACTAAGACTTATCATCTGGGGTAGACTTGTTAGGTATCTTCTTCATTAGTTTGAAGAGGTTAAACCATTCGTGCTTAACCCTCTTTGCTGTATGTTTCTAAGTAAGCCTCCTCCTAGGTGGCAGAAAGGAGAAATAGAAAAGAATTAAAAATTGGGGCTTCAACGTTGCTTAATAGAATTGTCCATGTTAATGGCATTTAAGGCAAAGTATCATTTTCATTGTAGAATAAAAAACAGTTTGCAGAGATGCAGCGTTTGCTTACGTTTCTCTTCCTTGTCTCTTCCTTTTTTTATTACAATATTGCACTTGTTCACTGTAGCTACCAGAATGCATTGCCATTTTAGAACTATAGATTACCGTGCATCCTAGTTTTCTTTGTCATCTAATGGCCTCAAAGAGAACATCTCGCACCATTAGCATTGTGTAACATCTGCTTACTGCTTACGAAGGCACGTGGTGGTTGGTAGTGTTTTCTTCTGAAAAGTCTGTTTCACTGACGCATTTTGGCCTTTATGAAAAGAGTTATTCATTCAAAGAGCTGAAGCAACTTAGGTATAAGGAAATGGTGAACGTGATTTGTTGTGCAATGTGTACATTTCTATTAATAATCTACCTATTCTTCTAATTTGGTATACTGAATAAGGAATACATGGTTATTGTGTTTGCTGTTTATCTTTTGTACTTGAAGGTGTTTGCCTTTGCATAAAGTGACATAGGAGTATCATTGGTCAAGGCAATGGCTTTCAGTGTTTCTGCTTTGAAAGAAGATGATGGAAGTGGTGGCTCGGATCTAGAGGTCATCGCTCTCTACCAAACCAGGCTGCATTGTCAGATGGACTGGATTTGCCTCCGGCTGGAAAGCTGCTTTGATGTCTAGTCCTTGGTCACACAGTGCAGCGTATCGGCTGGTTGAGGGCCGCACCTTCTTTGGCTTGGTTGTCTGAGGTGGTTGTTGCCACTGAGCTATAAATTCAAAAGGAAAGAATAAAAATTAGGCATCATCATCTCTGCAACAGTGTGCATCAGATTCATAATCTATCCTTTGTAAAGAGACACTCAGGAAGTTTCATTTCTTGGTGCGTTTATTTTTTTCCTCAGCATCTAGTTTCACCTTCAAACGTGATGAATGAAAACAAGCATCTGTGGTTGTTACCTTGACTTTTTGGCATTGCTTTCTACCTTTCCTAGTATCAGTGAGAAGGTTAACAGCGAGGTATGTGTTTCTGTGCTCTAATATTACAGTATCAGCCTGTTCTAGGGTTACTGGCTGCAATGGGAAATCATCTGGTTGCCATTGCCACCCCCTGAATCCAGAGGAACGTTGAGCCAAGGTTCTAATTCCCAAGTCTCCCTATCACTGCCACCCCAGAAAACATCTACCGTTCCCATTTTCCCACCCATTCATTCTTGTTATGAGGGGATTGGTAATGGGATTTTAGTTTAAGAGTATGTTCACTGTGTAAGGGGCTGCTTTGGAATGAACTATAGTTAGGCAGAAAGGCCTAACTGCTACAGTTCTGGCAGTTGTCACAGGTGTACTATACACTAAGGTGAAAAAGAATATCAGAAGTTAGGGAAGTGCTCACAGTAATAGTAATAATGATCCACAAGTCATCTAATCATGCCGTTATCTGTTGTTAATTAGCTATATTTAATATACTAAGCAAAAACAGAATGCATGCATGCTTGTTTTATTTTGGTATCTGAAAGATGGCGGCAGTACTTTGACAGAGCATTTGTTGTCTTGATGTGGATCGTTATTATTGAGGAGAAACTATAAACAAAAGAAAGAGAGACCAACGTAAATGATTCTGTGAACAATCTGACACTTGTAGAACTGTTGCTTTTGAGGGATTAATGAGGTCATGAAAAAGGAAGTCACTTACTATAAACATCCAACCTGGCAGTGCAAGACACAATCCCAGCTTCATTCTTAGCTGAAACGGTGTACCAACCAGCATCCTCTTTTGTAGCTCCCTGAATCAGCAGGCAGATGTAGCCATAGTTGTCCTGGTGCATGCTGAACAAAGGGCAAGTTGCAAATTACTACTTCAACTGAAAGACAGTGCAGGCATTTAACTGTCATTATAAACAGCCCCCATCCTAGTTTGACATTAAATATACAGTGTACTTTTAATTAATGTGAAACTTCCTCTGAAATTAGCAAGTGGTAAATGAAACGGCTTGGAAATTTGGCAGTTGAATATCCTGTATTAAAAAGAAAGAAGCAAAAACCACCCAGAGCAGCTTTTCTTTCAAAGCGACAGATTAGGACATCTGGAAAGCAGATTTACAGAACTTATCCAGACTTTGTGGGGACAGGATACAAGACCTGACTTGAGAAGTGAAGTACTGAAATATTTGCAGTTATTTAGGACAGCAGTAATTTACTACAGTGCCATATCAGTATTGAGTTCCTTTTCTTTCGATAGATCAGGAATTTTCTCTTAAATATTCCTACAAAACACTGTCAAATATTGATGACAAACGTACAGATCTTAGAAATAAATATATATACATATGTCTTTTTTCCACTACCCTATAGCATGTCCCTGTAAAGATGTGTGAGGTTTTGGTATGATTTAAAGGCTAACCCAAAGCTAGTTTATGTTGTAATAGCAACACTGAGCTCAACTTTTAGCTGCCTTTGTTCCCAGAGGAAGCATGGGGAAAGGGGACAAGTGGAGTGCTAAAGAATGGAGGTGATGGAAGCGAGTTGCTCTCAACTAGCATTTACCAAATGCTGGGGAAAAGTGTGCATAAAGCCACTGTCTCATGGAGGAGTTGGTTCCATGCAAGTGGATATAACTCAACTTTGGCCAAAAGTATTACAGTAACTAGTTAATATGGTGCTGCTCACACAAAGCATTCTTATGACCTTTTTGGTTTTCACTCGTGTTACAGGACAAATCATTAATGAAGTTAGGAAGAGCAAGATAATTCTCAGACCATCTTACCTCACTCTGTCAGTATTGTGTGTGATTGACTCATTCTCTTTCTTCCAAAATATCTGAGGCGACGGTTCCCCCGAGATTCGACACTCCAGTCGCACTGGAAATCCCTCAGTCACACCAGTGTTCTGTATTTTCTCTATAAACACAGGTGCTTTGTGTACTTCCTTAGCTGTGAAAATAAAGATTGCAGTATTGCTGACACTTCTGCGTGTATAAAGGAACAGCCTAAGAGGCAGGCAAATTTGGTGTTGTTTTCATTAGCTACAAAGCCTAGCCCTGCCTCATCTGAAGAAAACAGTCACATCCTTATTTTAATAAAAGAAATGGGAGATCTAATAGAGTTGAGGATTTTCCTTCTCCTCCCCCTCAGCCATTGGAATAGTTCAAGTGTAGAGCTTGGCAACTAGATTCCTTGACTGCACTGTGCTTGTAAAGCAGTGCTCCTTCATCCTCCATAAAAGGATGAGCCTTCAAATGTAGCAGAAGTACTTTGCCAGCTGGTTGGAATGGCATTAATCTAACGTCCTGTGAACCGTGTCATGCTATCAGCCCAGGCATAGATACGGGTCTGCACATATTGCTGTGGGGAAAAAAACCCACAACACAAGGAAGTAAACAGTTGGCTTTGTGGCCTCAGCTGTGCCTCGGGATGAAAACAACCCTCTTTTCTTCACAACATACCCAGAGGTTCCATGCTACTCAACAAAACATAACATAAACGTATCACCTTAGAGATATGATACAGCTCTGTCACTGGTTTCCTCTTCCCGTTCCCCAACCCTCAGCCACATCCTTGGACAACACTTAACTTTTCTACCTTACGCTTTCAGCACAAAGATGTTACCTGCAACAGTGAGCTCCAGGCTGAATGTATTTTCTCCAGCCCGATTGCTGGCCACACACGTGTAGATTCCCGCATCCCTCGCGGTGACAGGCTCTATGATCAGGGAGTGCACCCCGTTCTCACGCACCAGCATTTTGTGAGAGCTGTCAGGACGGATGGGTCTCCCGTTTAGTTGCCAGCTCAGATCTGGTGTTGGTAATCCGCTAACCTTCAGCGCAAACGGAATAATGGGAAATTATTTGCCGTGCAAAAACAGCGAAGGAGTCCTGACTCATTACTTCAGAAGAGTTTGGTTTTGTTTGCTAATGCAGGTATACCACAAGATTTAAAGAACTAATTTTATCCGAATTACACATCGACTCAGTTGCATTCATTTACTTGCCAACTGCCTGAATCCCATGGTGTCTTAAAGGCGTAACTGAAAAAGGATCAGTGTTCAGATATGCTAGAATCTAAACAATACATTGCAACAAATGGTAGGGTGACACCTTGTATCCTTTCTCATCATTTGCTCTTCACCTGGAATGACACCATATTTCTAAACTAATTTCTTGTCAAAAACTTGTAGACAAAAAGATGTTAGCTGACTAACCATTGAGCTCTGCATTCCATTTCATTGTTTCAGTCTGTCTGTGCGAGTCCTGCACTACTAAAAGCCCTGCCACCTGATGGGGTTCTACATGAAAACAAACAGCTTCTCCCAAGTAGATCATCACTGAGTAAACAGAAGCCCCAGCCTTCATCACTTCTGTTAAAGTCACAGAGGGTCTGAAAGTAACAGAGGATGGAAACTGAAGTAGTAAAAAGACTTCAAAGCATGTTGGCTTTATAGTGCGAGCTGCTTCCCCCTACAGCCCAAAGGAAGTGAATTTAACATTCCTTTTTCTGTTAGCTCTCAGGTTTGCCTGAAGCAATTTCCTTCCTGAGGAAGCAAGTTTTTATTTGTCAACTTTTGCTGCAAAGCAAAAATAGGTAGATGCCAATAGGTAAAACAGCATTTAAGAAGTATCTCATGCCACTTGGTTTCTGACTGCCGACGTTACAGTGAGGTAGCTGCTGGCCTGTGCCTGGCACTTACCTTGCAGTCCATCCTGCAGAGTTTTCCTTCTTGAACAGTCAGGTCTCCAGGGGCCTGCAGAAAATGGGGCCGGAAGAATCGTTCCTGGATTGGTTCATTTTCATCACCACTGTCCCTCGATCGAGACCGCGGCCTTAAAATACCAGGAGACAGCAGAAAGCTATCAGTATAGTCAGGTACCACTATATCAGAAGAGGCATCCCGAAAAATCTAGAAAACAGTCTTGCTACAGAATAATTACTTGTAATAATCTTATATTTGTACATGATAGAACGTTTTGTTTAGTCTTTAAATCACTGAAATACAAATTAAAGTTGGCAGGCTTTAGAATATAGCTTCCGCTCCTCATTTCTGGTGTCCTATGTATGTAACCCCACCCTGTCCTGCTATCGAGCAGCACGCACACAGCCCCTGCAATTACATTTACCCTTCAGAAAACAGCGGGTGAACAGGTGGCACTGAAGGGTAAAAGTCTTCCTGCACGCCACTATCCACTGCTGTAGCTGCAGAAGGCAGCAGCACTGAGGGAAGCCAGGGGGAAAAAAATTACACCCAAGGAAGTGGAAAATAAAAAGGCTGAGTTCGTGATCAAAGCAGTTTTTTAACGACAGGGGCTTTTTCTTGAATCGTGCCTTAACTAGGCTTTCAAATTACAGGTAGAAAAGGAAAGCTAAATCAGAACACTCTTTAGTATCAGAAACTAATAATGTGTCTTTTTTTTACATCTTTTACAAAGTAACCCTAATACACACATTTTTCAATCTTCCTTCCATCTCATGCATTTTAAGATGATCTGCTTGGAACTGCGGTCTGCTGCATGCAGTGAGATCACTCTGATGTTGCAGCACCGAGTGCTGTGATGTGGGGGCCTGAACCTTGCACACCTCAGATGTTTTAAAACCCTCTCCCCAAGTAAGGCTGAGAAGGTAATTTTTGCAAGCAGAGCAAGTTTCAGAAAAATACCACATGAAAAATGAAGTGACATCAAGAAAGCATGCCTTAAAATGGCAATGAAGTAGTGAAGGTAACGAAACCAGAGGTCTGCCACAACACACTCTGTAAGAGATCTAGTACTTCAGGAAAAAGCCTGTCAGCAGCATAGAAAGTAAGAAAGTTCATTAATAATCACTCCTCATAGACATTGTTGTTGCTCTCAAGCAAAAAAAAAGCTTACAGAAAAAAAAATGCTGTAATGCAACAGGAATATTACTTATCAAAAGTGTACGAAAGTGTGTGACCAGCTGTAGAGCAGAGCACACGATTGTGGTCTGTTCCATTAGAAAAGCTGTGGTGGTGGGAGTCTGTCACAGGAATGTGGTCCATGCTCAGATTTCATCAGTTTGGGGCACAACTGGATGATGGGAGCAGTGGGAAGGTCCACGAGACAGAAATAGTGCTGAAACAGACCTGAAACTGTGCGGGAAGTAAGAATTCCCAGTAGTTGCTCTCATTTTAATTAAACTGCTATATGCAAATCTCTTACAATTCCTTTCTCTGCTACACACCCATCTAAAACTGCCAGAGTGCTTGCAGCAACTGAACAGCAAAATAGCAGCTGCGAGTGGCCTCAGATTTCAATTGATTTCAATTGCGTTTGGCAAGATTGCAAAACAGGGCTCACCCCTATTATTGGGGGCTCTGCCTGCTGCAGGAGGAGGTCTGCATTTTATCCTTCACAGAGACACACAAGTGTCAGCTGCTCCATTCTCCCTTGTCCATACCTATTTCCCTCCCTCCACTCCTCCCTTTTAAAAATGCTTCCCCTTTCTCACTCCTGTACATCAGCTAGTTTAGCTGAAACCTGACTCTTCCCTGCAGTTTTTCCCTTCCTGGATTAACACAGACTTTTCTTTTGTACCCATTATTTGCAGGTGCATGAGACAGTTGGCAGCACTTTCAGGATAGGGGAAACCTGGTTTGCTTAATGTAGAAGTCAGATGAGGTCTGTTCAGCAGCCTCATCTCATCACACCCCCCAGGCACAAGAGCTGGCAGAGGATGCCTGTATGTCACGTCGCAGCTCTGCAGTGTGGCAGGGGGCATCTGAGCTGCTTTGCTGCACTCTGACAGCAGGTAATTACATCTGTTCTACAGATGACCATTGGGCAGTACTGAGATTCTGTAGTTGTTGTGACCGTTAAGCAAATCACAGCCCTCGTTACGGTGAAGGCCTGAAGAAGAGCCCTCATGCTTCCTTGAAAGCAGCCCTGTTTGTGAAACCAAAAGGAATTTTTTTGTATTGTCTGAAGATGTCTGAGCTGTGCTAAATACCCTCATAAATGCTTTGGGCAATGAAAAAAAACATATGGAGAGGAAAATTCCCTTATATGGTCCAAAAACGTAAACCGAAGCTCCGTGTGTGAATAATTGTAAACTCACTGAAGATAAGTTTAATGCTTTATATCTGACTCATAATTCCTGCTAAGAACCTGAAATGAAATCACTGAAATAGCAATAAACTCTGTGGCTTACAGTTATTTCTGCTGTTTCTGTTAAAAAATGCTTACTAACGCTGCACACTGTACAGGCTCCCACTGCACTGAGATGCTGAATACCCGCAGAAGCAACAGTGGCTTTCCTCACAGCTTACAGTCTAACTTGTGGACAGTGAACAGCACAAAGAAAGGAAAGGGAGACAAGCAAAGTTCAAGATACTTTAAAGCTATGTCATTTCTGACATTGCCCACTAGTTTCCAATTGTGCAAGGTTTGCAGAGGTTTTAGCAGTGGGGAGGCTTCTTCCTGTATGCCACATTTCTAACTTGCCCTCTTACTTGAGATTCTTCATAACAGCCATTTTCCAAAACAGATAATGTTCAAAGAGATAAAAAAAAAAGCATCAAGTACCTTCTGATATGAGGCTGGCCAGGAGGTGTCCAAGGGCTGCGGCCTCTCTGATTTACAGCTTGAACCATCAGCCTTCCTGTGCAGCTTATTCTGCCCTGTAGTAACGATGAAGAGGAAGACAATTAACTGAGACTGAACTCATCTCACATTAATCTGTTTAACCTGATCTCTTCTTTGTTGCCTGCCTGTTACAGAGCCTGCAATATCACCTCTTCTTTCAAAAAATCCTTTAAAATCGTTTGTCAAGATACCTTCGGATATTCAACTGTTTTATCAGCTTGCAACTAACAATGAACAGACGGAAATAACTGTGACTGGCTGAAACGTTCCACCATCCACTTTCTATCCAGTTTTTACATTCTAAAAGGACCATCACCACCACCACACAGAACACCAAGAGGTAGCAGCACCGCTGGCTGTAAGCCATACGATGAACTGACTGAGCCTTCAAAAGGCAAAGACATTCTTGTCACTGCTGGGCTGTCAGACTTGATCCTTGGATCCCAATTCCATTCCCATGACCCGTATAGCCCACAAGAAAAACTGTAAAATAAACCATTGCACATAACCTGAAGCAATTGCTTATGCAAAAGTTTTTTTTTTTGTGTTACCATTAAAAACACCTGGAACAAGTAGATTTCTATTTTAGGCACTGCTGTGTATTTATTTTATTCTGACAGGTGATGAATTAACGCTATTTTGAATAACTGCTGTGTATCTCAACACATGAAGGCATCACAAATGGAAACACAAAGTCCTGGAAGGAATTTGTACAGTAAAGAACTAGCTGGAAGCCCCAGATTTGGAAAAGCTATGGGATGAACAGGAAGGAGCAATGGATACGGGAAATGGTTCGTGGGAAGATGACCTAGAAAGCACAGGAGAGGGGACCTCTGGGTGCACACTGCAAAGAAGTGGAGAGAAAGAAGGTGAAAATAAGGACCATGCTTAGAGCTCGTGGCAAGAGATCAGTTAATGGTTGTAACTTTTAAGTAACAGCCTGAACCAAGCAAGATTTTATGTTTTTCTAGATCTGAGATCAGTTTTCTCTGGCTCGAGTTCGATGGCAAGTTGTACTGCAAACCCCAGCAGCATTACAACTTAATTCCAGCTCGCTGCACTTCGTGCTGTAGGCAGTAGTGCAGCATTAACTACCACAGATAACTTCTAAGGTGCATCAACAAATCATCTTGCATACATAAACGCTGTAGTATTCATCCAGATAGCGTGACAGTGTAAACCAGCAGAGTTTTAAGGAATGAAATCCTTTGCTTTAATAAGATAAATTAATTTCTAGCAGCTACGAACATGCCTTTTTGCTCTGTAGTTTGATAGTCCTAATAGCAATGACCAAATCACAGCACCATCTAGCAAGTATCTGCCAGTCCATCAGAACCCTGATGTCAACTCCCTTATGTTTACATATTCTGCTTTTCTTAAGGAAAGGTTGCCAAATTTGCCTAACTTCGTGATAGCTTTGAGACATGGACAACTTTCCGTTAGGATTTAGGAAGCTATGCCAGAACTATTTCTACTTGGGATGACTTAAAAGAACTGGAATCCAGATATTTTAGTGCAAGAGGCTTGTATGTGAACTCACAGCCTTTCTTTGCCTCCACTGTGCTGTGAAACACATAGTAAAAGCAAGCTAACAGGAGAGGAGCATCTTTGTTTGGGAAGCACACCATGAAGAACGAACATATGTGCTTGATGAAATAGGCTTTGTTTTGGGGATCTAGAAAAGGATGCTCCTGTTGTTTGTTTGTTTATTCCCCAAAAAGGAATGGAAAGCACAAACTGTTTTTTCCATCCCCAAAACTAGGGTCATCACAAGACCACCTCAGTTCAGCACATTTGCTTTAGTACACTGACAAATTTGTGTCACCAATGACAAGAGCTAATGATCTAGGCAACTTCACTGGTGTCATCAGACGAGCAGAACAGCTTGTTAAAAACGAAGGCCTAAACATGCATACGTGAGTTACAGAGGGACAGGTGTCTGTCCAGACAGAAGGGAACCTTATTCACCAGCTTCTTTAAGATTTTGGATCCCACAGTAAAACTACACTGAGAAACCCTACGCATGCACTGACACAACACTGATAGGAATACAGGTAGGATTTGTATCCTACCTTCAGCACAGTTGTTTTGTGGGTTGTTTTTTTTTTTAAGTCATTTTTAAACTTGTGGTGAATTTGCACAACTTAAATGGCACCGAGCGTTAAAATACAATGCTTCTTTTTTATACATAGAAGTTCCCAGCTTGAAGAATTCCCCTGGCCATCTGCTAGTTCTTTATTTCTGTTATTAGCATATGTAGAAAAAATGTTCAGACTCTCTAGATTTAAGCCCTGCAGTTGGTAGAATCAGGGATCTAAACACTGCTCTTTCTTGTCTCTGTATAGAGAAACACACTGTAGAAAGGGCAGGACTGACAGTAAAAAGAGCAAGGCATAAGTGTCATGTAACCTAGCAACATCATAACACAGCACAATATTCTTAGATTAAGCTCTGTCTCAGCGATGGAGGTTATTTCACAGTGTAATTCTACTTGCAGTCGTGGTCTTGGCAAGCTATTTGGTGCTACAGAAGAAAGTAATTCGTTATATCCCTCAGTTATGTTACTGCCTTGGTTTCTCACATGCAAATAATTTTCCTTGATTTGCTTTGCTCTGGGAAAAAGTGGATTGAGAAAGTTAGTTCAATAGGATGCTTCAACGGTAACTTCAGTTAACAACGTTGTATGCTTCAGCTCTAGTTTGGGGTCTGTGAAGAACAGAGAATATTACAGATGCAGTAACACTCTGTGTTTCAGAACACAGCGTTTAAGACTCTGGTACCAACACAAAAGACTCTGCACTCCTCCCCAGTAAGCACAGGAATCGTTTGCTACAGAGCTGCAATCCCTGCCTGAGGTAACTGTGCAGAGGTGCAGTGCGCTCCAATTCACTTCAAAGAGTTGGCCTCAGTCAATAAGAGGTGTCATGAGAAGAAAACTGAAAGCTCAGCAGCCAGATTGAGTTACTGCTGGTAAACTTGACTTTTCCCCCCTTGTATAATACATATGGTGTCCATATTTGGTTAAGGTACCTAGATGCTATCTGCTGAAACAAACGGTGGAACAGTCATCAAACAACAACACCCGTTCCCTCTGAAACCTCAAACCTTAGGAAAAAAAAAGGCTGTTGAGTTGCTAATCTCTGGGAGATAGAAAGGTCCCACCCTACTGATGCAAGATGAAAACAGAAATCTAACTTACATACTTGGTGGTGACTTCATCATTTAATTAAATCACGCATACGTAAGGTTCTGAAGATTCATGTTGAGAAGCATGTTTGCTCTGGAGCCAAACCTTCATTTACCTGTGGGTTAGCAGCCATAATGGTGTAATTCCCATCATCATCCAGGGTGGAGGCTGCAGCATGCAGTGAGCAAGTTCCATCAGGTTCTCTTTGAATTCGGTAGTGATCACTTCTCTTAGAAATTTGCTTCCCATCTTTAAACCAATAAATCTGCAGGGAAAAACAAAGCACGGCTGGTAAGAGGTAGGTGCTCACCAACATCATTTCTCAATTTGCAGCGCTACCAAATCTTAGCGGCTGAAAACTTCTCTGGTTGGCAATAAAGGAATGGGTCCAGCCTGCAGAGGTGCAGAACCACACTCCAAAACCACTTCCTATAAAATCCAAGTTCCAGGATAGCGGTGGCTCAGAGAGAAAAGCTGGAGTGTGAGCACCCGTCTCACAAGTTTAGATGTGCCTAAGGGTTGTGCTGATCCCAGACTGAGCAGCAGCAGAAGAACTGAAAATAAATGTCATTGCAAAGGAAAGTTCAAGAGCAGATAAGATTAGTAACTTTACATTTTTGTTTCACTTACATCTGATGAAGCTGGAGGAACTTAAAGCTACTGCTTTCCTTTCAGAAAAGGAAAACTTAAACCAAGGTAATTATCAGAACAATTAGTTCAGTAATGATCTCACTGCTGTAACACAGCGCTGCCCCATCCTTTGCACCCACATGAGGCAGCCAGCAGCAAGCTGCCCTGTGCTGCTAGGTTAACATCACTAGATGC